GCGCGGAAAAACCCTTCGCGATGCTTTCGGGAAAAAAGACACCAGTGGGTCCGACCTCCTTGACACAGTTGTAGTGCTGACTTCCAGGCAGAGACCTAGACTCGGCTGCTTGGTTCAAGGCACACCGTCAATGCGCAGGGAAACCAGCTCAGTATCTCGCCTGATCACAGCTAGCTGCCGCAAGGACCCAGTTGATGGAATCCCTCTTCAACTGCTTGCGGTGCCTCGGGCTCGAGAGCTGATGTTCACACGACGGACTGCAGCTGCAAAGCCAGGGAGCATGTGTTGGAGCTGCTCCAGCGACACCATCCAGCGACCGGCCTCAAAAAGCGATCTTTGGGAACCGCCACCTCTCGAGCTACGTGCAACTGGGCTGTGGGCACTCGAAAAGCTCATCGCATTTGCCCGGATGGAAACCTAATCACAACGTACTCGGCATTCGGCACTTGCTACCCACATCTTCCGCGCCTGCGAGATCTGGGTCAGCAGGTCCATAGACTTCTCCCAGGCATCGCATCTCTGGTGAGCAAAGGCCCTCAGCCGGATTTCACAGCAGCTGTTGACATCAAGAAATGGACGACTCCCTCTGATTGTGCTTCAAGGCATGAATTCCATAGTCATCATGATGGGTTGCTGTGAGGTCTTGACTCATGTATATACGCTGCCTGTGCCGTGCTGGCCTCTAGCTGTGAGCTGGCCTTCCAAGGCTTAAGAGCTTGGGTTTCAACAAGCTGCTCGTGGCGTGCCTGGGCATGCCTTTGGCTGTCTCCGACAGCAACGCGCCCTTCCACCGCTTGTCTCCCTTGCACTTCTTTAACGAGCTGACATGATTCCCGTGACCAGAACTGCCAAACCCCGTGGCAAGGCCAAGGCCACAAGCCAAGGTCACAAGCTCATTATGCAGGGTTGTGGCAACAACATTGCCACAGCTAAATTAAATGGCAAGTCTTTCACGCTCTGTGATTGCAACAAACGCAGGCGAGCTTCAGACTGTTGTAGCTGAATAGACTGGCACGAAGATGAGCCTGCACGTGCACAGTGCTATCTGTCAGTCCATATGTCTACAAGACAAGCTCAATGTTCCGGATCAGTGTGACACGTGTAGATTCAGACTGTGTGCATTTGCCATTTGCCTTCAGCATCTGCTGAAGAAGCATTGCTGCCAGCTGAGAGTTTCCACCATCCGCACAAGCGATGATGGAACCTTGTGCTGACACAGTCAGACATGATATGAAAGTTCCTTAGCCTTTTTTGCCGGCATAGCAACAGTTGTAGCTGACCACATTTTGCAGGAGGGCGATGTCGCTCATGGAGTGGCAGATGTGCACCGCATGCTGCCAACTGCCAACCCTGCACAGTCGCATGTCACATGGAAGTGGCTTGATGCCAAGCATTATCTGGCAGGCCGAAGTACTCATGCTAAACCTGTTGGTGGAAGAAAAGCAGTGGAAAATCCACCGAAGCACATCCAGAACCCGAAAAACTGCCCAGCGTGGTTCTTCACTTGACTGCTGGCCTAGGAAACCAAGATACGCAAGACACAAGCAAAATATGTAGTAAAGAAACAGAAAAAAAAAGGGACTGGAAGATCAGGCCACTGCGCTCAATTCGCAGGCAGAACGCAACTGCAGCAGCAGCACCGAAATCAGCACGGGGCATGCAATTGGCTCGAGATGAGCACACACTGGCACAGCGAGAATCGCAGTACTGGGCCGTGCGCGCCGTGCATCGTCAAGAGTTTTTCGTTTTCAAAAAGATATTCGTCGAACTATGTATGAGACAACGCAGTTAGAGTTAGAGACTGCAATCACATGCATTCCGGACTGTTCTCGTGAAAGCCATGCATTCTGTGGAACTGTAGTATCTTGAGAGTGATAAATGCCTGGAGGGTTCCACTTTGTCTTGGCGGGTCAGGATGCTCCTCTCATTAACACGGTCTCCCGCATACCCGGCCTGGCCTGCTGCCGGTCTCTCGGCAGGCGGTTGCTACATGGTGGCAGAGCACCGCATCGATGCGAAGTCGAAGGAAACGGAGATTTTCGAAGAGCTCCAGAGCGCAAACCCAGGGCCCCCGAGCCGCCAAAGCCGCACTGAATGCAATCGGATCGCTTGCCGTCTGCCCAAGGAGATGAAAGGCCACATGCCAGGGGCTCCCCTTGAAAGAATATAACAAAAGGAGAGCATCCATGAACATGCCGACCTTCCTGGCTACAGGTCCCACATCCACACCAAGCGTCGGCATGGACGGCGCAGCTGCGGCTGATCACATTTGGCAGAACCCCGTATTCTGCCATTGACCTGTGTAGGATACTCCTCTTCAAAACATCCAACCCACCAATTCAATTCAACGCACACTTCGAGACATGTTAACTGCCTCAGAAACCTGACTGCCACGTGCCACACCCTCGAGCATGCACTCATGCATATATCACAGCCTCGGATATGCAGAGCACACCACACGACTTCGCGCAGAAACCTATAACAACGCCAACGTCTGCAATGACTACAGCGCCGGAAAGCTGGTCTTGCTGCAGCTCAGTACCCTGTGCATCCTAAGCTGTGTGAGTACGCAAGACAAGTGCCTTTGCCGTGCCCCGTCAGATGCAGTTCTCAAACACAGGCCAGGGCTCCCATCGAGCAGGTGTATTGCTGTCGCCCACGACCAGCCTTCACATGCGCCGATGGCACCTGAGCATCGCAAATCCCATCACAGTGCTGACTTCACCCACATGAAGCAACAAGGTGCAGACAAACCGGGATCCAAAGCTGCCAAGGCAGTCCAAGACTCTGTTGTAAGTCACCTCATTCGGCAAGATTCCAACCTGCGATTGTTTGGTGCATGAACAAAGCCAGATGCGGGTTCATTCGTGTACGAAGGCAGGCCTGAGACATGCTTTGAAAAATATCTACCGCCAGATGCCATGCTTTCCCCTTCTCGCAGGCAGCCACGGCAGAACTGAAGTGGAACACATTCGTCTCGACCTTGGTCCAGTTGGCACATGTCGGACAATGCAGCCATGTGCCGGAAGTTTTGAGATATCTACAGTGCCTTCGGGGGGCCGTGCAAGCGCGCATCACCTGTCGCCGCCAACCGTTTACACTGCAAGTTTGCACATCACAAAGACACCCTCCCCAGCTTGAACGCCATCCTATTGCTCTCAAATTCCGTCTAGCTTCTAATTCTACACAGCCGAAATAGAAGCTGCTCGCCCTTCCAGGATCTTGTCAGACCGCATGCCTGCAAAACTCGCACTGCGGCATCCCAGCGCTGAACCTGACTGCAACGTTTCCACTTGCCACTGGCGTGGTACAAACAAAGTGCTGCTTGCTGTGGACCTGCCCCTACCATTGCAAAGAGCCGCTTTCTACTTACATATCTCGCTTGGCATGTGACATCACCTGATGCCATCTCATATCATTTCATAATACATCATACCACACCATATCGTACCATATCATACAATGTCATACGTATCATATCATATTAAGCATTTCATGCCGTTCTAGATCATCTCAAAGCATATCGTAGCATATCATCACATGGCATATCATCTCACATCTACACATACCATACCATCGCAGGTGCTAGAAAAGTACAACATACTATGGCATGCCATGCTCTGTCACAACAGATCATGTCAGTATAGCTTCAATCAACGTATGATACCTGATGTATACATATTGAGATATATGAATACCTATCTATCTATCTATCTATCTATCTATCTATATATATATATAGAAACATATGTGCTACAAAAAACATGGAAGCTGCTCTGCACACACTCATCCATATCCATATCTGCTTGTACATATATATATATATATCATAGTCTATATCACAGATATTTATATACATGCAATATACATATATCTCTATATACACATATGCTTTGTGCTGATGCGGCCCGCCTTGGCCAAAGCGCTCAACAGTGTGGTCGCCAAGCGAGGCTCCGAACTCCAAGCCGGAGCTGCTCCCAAAAGCCTCTGGACCTGCAAAAGCGGCTCCGACCAAACTGGAGCGTTCTTGGGCTTCGGGGGCTTCTGGGGTTTGGGGATGTTGTGTCGGGGTCTGGTAGAGTTGGTACGGAGTTTCTGAAGTTATGCCAACCTCTCTTAAGGGTCCGTACACCAAAGATTCTACTATCCAAATCTAGGACGTAACGTAGGGTTTATACTGGTGTAGGGCTCCATGAATTCCGAAACTTCTAAGAAGTTTCCACTGCTGCTGTGATCGCATGCTTTCACTGAAGAACTCCAGCCTCTCCAAGCCCAGGCGAAGGCTTCAGCTGCACCAGCTGTTTCCTGAGTACTTCTATGAGGGATTCGGTGATCGTACATGCTGCGCTCTACACTCCCATCTTTTCCCTGACCAAAAAATCCGGAAGGCGGGCAAGGCAGTGCTACGTCCAAGGTCCAACAGCTTGCTGAGAGGGGCAGGCTAGCATTGTGATATCAACCGCAAGGCCGTAGAGGGATGAGAGAGAAAGGATCTCCGACCCAAAGCAACCAGGTCGAAGGAAGAAGGGGCGAAAATGGGCAAGTCACCCACAAGGGACCAATGCCGAAATACAAGTAGAGAAGGACTGCCAGTGTCTCTTCGCAATGCTGGCCGGCAGTCCCCGAGCAACTTGAAAAAATTGTCATACATTCTCCGTGTCTTCGTTTACACACTCTCCTCCCTGCGTAGCTTTCATATAATCACAAAGCCAAGCTTCAGCTGCAACTTCCAATCGTTGCCACCGGGATGCATCTCATTGTTGTGAACGCTTGTAGGGTGGACAGTGGCATCGTGATGGCATAGCGCACCAGGAATGCATGGTGCACACGAGGTGTGGGTTCCAGGGCGTGGCTTGGGCAGTTCGTCTCTCCCGGCCATGTAATTCACAGCAACCGCCTTTCTGGACTTGGAAGCGCTTTTGACAACGCAATACTTCAGTCATATCTGCAACAGGTCCAAGTTTGCATCTGCTTAGGCGACCTTCTCAGTCTCAGGAGACGGCGCTTTCTCACACAATAGCCATCTGAAAGCGAGAACTTCAGCCAAAAACCTGTACAGGATCGCTTTTGATGCCCCGTCACCTGCTTGCCGACAGCTGCAAAGCGGCCATGAACTGCAACTCATCCAGAAATGCCACAGGCCAGAAATCACGGCCCAGTGCACTGCAAGCCTCTACAGCAGTGCCAAAGCCTGAGAAACACACACGTCTAGCGTAGCTTCGGCAAGCCATCATCTGTACCCACCTATGATTCAGCTACCAAAGGGCTGTTGACATCGGGAGCCAAGGCATTCTCCATCGTCGCCAGAAGCAGGCGCACCGCCCACGCCCACTGACGAGCAGCGGCGCAGGCAGCCACCGAGCCTTTTTGAACGGTGAGGGCGCCAACTCCGTGCTGGAGAAACCCCAGCCTAACATCCATAAAAAACGAAGACAAATCACCATCTTTACAACCCCACACTGCTTCGCCCGAACCGGAGCCTGCGAAGCTCACGCTTGTGCGAGCTGGTCCTTCAATTCTGCGCAGCAGATCCAGCGACGAAGCCCTCAGCTACAATGTGTTTGTACCCATCTCGAACCATATCAGGAATGGTTCCTGTCAGAGGACTACACTCTCTGACCCACTGTAAACAGGGATGCCGGTCAGCCTGCGGTCTCTATGGAAAACGAAGACGCTTCTAGTAAAGTGCTCGCAGCACCCCTGATCTCATCTATCAGAATGGCAATGACTGCAACAGTCTGCTGTCTGTCTCCAGTGCGGAAATTCATATCAAATGTCGATCGGCTCACATGCTTAGTGCATGCCAAGAACCAAGCACCCGCACAGCCGCATGCACCCAAGGATGCGTTCATTCCGATCACATCCGGCTGCACCTGCTAGCAAGGAGTTCATGCACGGGCATGTCCACACTGAAAGTTCGACGGCCTGAAATTGCCCTGCGTTGAAGAGGAGGGCCAGTGCCGATTGCCATTGGCATGCTTTCTCGCAAGTGCTGATGAGCGTATTGCAGATAACGATATTCAGCTGCAGCCTCAGCATCCAACATTCAAGGTTCTTGAGCCCTGTCACGATTCCATTGAAGCACAGCTTTCGAACACCAAGAATCGACGCCGAAATCATCTCCTCCAACAACAAGAAGGCAGTCTGCCAAGCGCCAGCGAACTCGCAGGCATTGAGAAGGCATCCGCAGGTCACCGTGGTGGGAAGAACCGCAACCTGCAGGAGCACAGCCAGAGAAGCGACGACGAGCGGGTCAGAACTTGACCAAGACCAACAATGGAGAGGTTCTGACATGCTCTGACATGCCCCGATGTCATGCCTGGCGCATGGCCAGCAAGAGGGACAGGGCCAGACGCCATCGCCCCTCTCTTTCACAGGCACGCAGCAAGGAGGTAAAGCTGATGACATCCTGCGCTATGGAAAGGAGCCATCAACATCAGAAAACGTGCCGATGCCCCTGTGCGCCCCGCCCCTTCGCCCCTTCCCGCTCCGGCAGCACGGCCACGTCCGGCATCGAGCTCAGGAGCTGTGCAGCTCGCTGCCACGGTGCGCCCAAGCCGGAGGCCTCGGTGTACCCGTCGCCGTACACCCGAAACCGGGCAAAGGCTCTCGGTCCTTGACTCTCTTGTGTCTGCGGCCCGGCCACGTCCGTGGCCTTCAAGGTGGCATTGAAGCCTGAACGGCACAAGTGCGCCTCCGTGGAATGCATGGTGTGCGGCCCACAGTCAGGTTCCGAGCTGTCTGCAGTGCAAAGCTAACCGACCCCACAAGGCTACAAATACCCTAGATACAGCTCGAATCTTGGAAGCTGGCACACGACGTTGGGCAGCAGCGCATCTGGCCTCATCTTGCCTTTGATGACAGCCGGCAACGTTCTAGCTGGTATCCAAATTCCATCCTCCATGCCAGCAACTGCTAGCAGTTATTGCCTCACCAGGCGACTGAGAAGCCTCATTGCCAAAACCCATTCCGCAGCAGCGATAGTCGAGGAGATCGCCACGATATCTCCGATGGAGCCTGCTAAACTGGAATGGGCTCACAGAACACACGGACAATATCGACTCTCACGAACTACTGCCACTGAAAGGGCTTGGACGAATCAGAGCTGGGCATGAACTCGGAGACAAAGCCGTTCAAAGCTAGGTGTAACTGTAGCTGCAACTGCGCAGAATGGTATAACGTTGCACATAGCTGCCACATGGCAGCTTCGCCTCCAAGCAGATGCAGGGCAATGGACCACACGCCTCGAGGACCTCTGGCGACTGGCTTTGTGTGACTTTTTGAGCTTCCGGTATACATGGCGACAAGGTGCAGGAACTTATCGCCGTGTTGATGGCCACTGCATCAGGCATCAAGGACATGGCAGCACGCGCTTGCCTCGGAACCCGAAGAGAATCAGCAAGGCACGAGGTACAGAATGCAAATGCTTTGCACCATCGCCTATCATTATTTCGCAGCTGCCGTGTTGCAAATGCGACAGCGCTAGCCCCCAAAGGCCATGCGGCTCAAAAGCTGTCATGGCACAGTTCATGAGTATGGTGTCCTGAAAAAGGCAGCACAATAGTCCACAAGATGCTGCTACCCCATTTCCGATATGGCAGTCCCAGTACCTGCGGAACTAAACGACGAGTCTCACGCCGAACCGACTCGCCCAGAAGCTGCAGCGCAGAGAGCCAGTCGGCAGGTGCGCAAACCTTCACCACGCGTGTTTTGAATATCGCCTCTGCCAAGGCCACACATGGAAGCTCTGTCCAACTCAGGACCTGAGCAACTCAACTGAGGCTTGCGCATTTGGCGAAATGTCTGTGGCTGCTGCGGCTGCAAGCAGCCACAGAGCTTGGCACCAATCCGAAGAAATCATGCAAGAGAAATGCACCCTCAGAAGCTTCAGCATTGGAGAACACTGGCGCCCCCAAACCCTGACCATACAACATTAAACTCCCTGTCCAAGCAGCACATCCGCCTCCATCTGCTCCTCACGCAACTGACGCAGCAGGCTCCAAGACGTACCTCCTGCTGCCAGCGAGCGCAGCACCTCTCCAAAGGGAAGCATGGCAGCTTCCATTCGGCTGATATGATGCGACGATAGACGCATCGTGCAACTGAGACCAAATGCAAATGTGACAACAAGTCACATGTCCTTCGCCACCTGTTCTTAACAATGCTGAAACAAACCAAGGCAAGTAAGTCGAGGCACTGCCGATGCGAGTCTTGGTCGTCTTGCCAAGGCTGATACGGGAATATCAGCCTCGTCCTAAGCTAAAGGACCTATGAAGTTGAGGAACCCGAATGTCTTACAAAACCAGATGCCGCCAAGCATCAAAGCCTTTGTGCATGCCACTGATTACATAGTTTCTTGATGAGGCTGATGAAAGAGTGCACGCATCGGCCGGCTGCAAATGGCATTAGACTTTTAGCTGCACGCCATCGCACAGCAGTCAGCAGCCGAGGTGGCAATTCACCGTGCCTCTGCACTTCCAACAAAGCATCGGATCCCTGCCCGATGAAAAAGGCTGCGGGGAGATCCCTCTCAAGAAGCGCCCGCCGACATGACCGATTTCACGCTCGATTGGAACCCTTGAGCCGTCACACGTTTGAATCTACCTGGCTCGCGTGGCAACGAGCGCCATGCATCAACTTGACACCGGTTCCTAAAGATACCTGCATAGAAGCATCATTTATTGCTGAGATGCAGCTCAGCGCCACACCAAAGCCTGGTGGGAGCGGTCCTGTAAGTTTCTTGAGCAGGACGCCTGCGAAAAGCCGCGCGACAACCAATCCTGTCCTGGGAATCTCTTCTAGTTCGGGTTCAGTGCACACCCATACACAGCTGCTCGGTTCAAAGACCGTCGCCAGCAATTTTTTGATGCAAAGCAGAATGTCATGGTTGCTGGAAGCACCAAAGATAAAAAGGATGAGCCTGGCAAGCGACTGCGTATCCCAGATTCCCACGAATTCGTTTTTGTTCGTGGAGTGGGCGTGAACTAGAAGCCGAAGCCCTCGGGAAGCTATTTTGACGAAGTTTGACGACACATCTATCAAAAACATGATAAGCACATGTCACAGAGGTCAACACAAATAATACAACGTCATAGCAACTAGTCAACACCACTTTTCGAGACAATGTAAGACACCCAACGAGGTCACAAAAGCTTCTTGGCACACGCAAAGTGTAATGTCGCAAGCCCGTCAACACCAGACATACTCGAGGTGGATGGTACGAAATAAAGGAAGACTTACCAGCACTCGTTGACAAAAGCGTACGCAATAAGAAAACCATGAGCACTTTGAGAAGCAACAAGTTAAAATGTAATGTAACCATAACGCCTGTGCATGTCGGGACACAAGCCCTTGAAAACGGCCAACTCAACATGTTGATTTCGTAATTTCGCTGATTGCCCACATGGTGTTGTCAGCCGTCGAGAAGAAGCCTCTAAGTGGAATGAAAAATAATGAAAAGTCGTGTTGAATGAGCAAGGAAACCAGCTGCTGGCCTGGGCCTGGGCATGGGGTTTCGGATGGCGAACAGCAACAAGCAGTTTCAATTTATTTCTTTATTTTCCTCTATGTGTCAAGCGGGTGTGACTCAACATACATGTATATAAAAAATGGAACATAGATATAAATCTCAACCATCACTCCAATATATTTCATATGAAATGATGACAGCTCGCACACACTCACAGTCTCCACTCTTTTTTCATTTGAAAGGGGGCATCGAAGTGCCTTGCCCTGCCCTGTCTTTGCACGAGTTGCCCTGCCACTTGCAGTCGCGCCCGTTCTCTAGGTCGCACTGCTC